GCCATCGGGCTGACTTCGCGACGTGATTGCTAGTTCATTACTCGCCGTATTCAAGCAAGGCATGCATACCTACAGACCAATAGTCTCATGATATCAGTCGTTGCATGTGTTCAACCGGGGAGACTATAACGCCTGGCTTCAACGAGTTGGCTCATGGCAAAGGCAGAGTATACCCAGTCGCGACAAAAATCCATGTCAAGTAGGTCTCTGCTCACTATCCGAATCAACTCCGCTTTGGCGAGGCTTTTCTTTCGCCTCCTCATCAGCCTCACGAATCCGATCCTCAAACCGTCGCAGCAAACGCCCAGTGGCTTCTACGTTCTTCCGCATCTGTTCAGCATCCTCTTTCAGACGCTTTAGGTGCTCAGCGACGTGAAAACCGCTATCGGCCTCGGATATCTCACTGGCACGGGCGGCAGCGTGGTCGAAGTGTCGCAACAGCTCTTTTTGTCTTGACCAGGTCGTGCGGATTCGCTCGGTGGCGATGCGTGGGCCACGGTGGTTGCTCTGAGCAAGCTCGGCTGAATCGTGTGGAAATTCGTACGGCGTCGTGATGGATTGGGATGTTGCATCGGACACGACGCTTGATCCTGTTTGCTCGATTTGCCGTAGTTGCTTCAGGGCATCGCGTTCGTGGTACTCGAGGATTGCACATCGGGTAACTATATCAGCAGCCATGTTGTTCAGCAGCTGGATTTCCCGTCGGAGCAGATCCTTCTCCCCGTCTTCCTCTGCATGCTGATAGAACTCGTGTTCTTTCTGCCCAAGGTATCCCCAGACGTATTGCCATTCTGAACCAATCTTGTTCTTGAGCTCCCGAACTTGCTCCAACCAGTCTTGTATTTTGCTTGCATCTCTTGACTTGAGGTTGTCCTTGTACGCGCGGTAGCCGTTCTCTACATCGGGTCCTGCAAGTTCACCCTCCTTGAACTCGGTCTGGAAGACAGTCTCTTTGTCCATCTCGGCCTTCAATGCATGTAGCGGGCTACCATGCGGTGACTGCTGACCACCAGGACTACCGCCAAATCCTCCCATGCCTCCAATACCGCCAAGTTGTAGGGGGCTCCGAAGAATAGTCATCGTCTGAGACGTGTGAAACCAGAGCGCAAGTTTGCCGATTCGAGAAAGGGACGATTTGGCCTTTTCGTTCTCCTGCAACTTCTCATACTCTTTTTGACGGTTCGCTTTTATCGTCAGGTCATAGAGTTGTAGGAGTTGTGGGGGCAGGCGAACGATGTAGAACTGTCCGGCCTTGTATCCGAGCGCACACCCAACTGTAGCTGCTCCGAAGAATCGCGCGAAGCCGTAGACGCCGGGTAGAGCACGCGGGTTCAGTGCCAAAAATGCGCCCACCACTCCTCCCCCAAGTGTCGCATCTTCCCACGTCCAGTGCTTTGTCCGTTCCCATAGCTTGCCCGGCTTGGGCTGTATCCCTTCCATCTTGAAGACGCCCCGGTGCAGTTCATGTCGCCCATATATTCCCGATGCGGTGAATGTGAGGTCTACGGCACCGATCAAGGCGGCGGACTTGAGAAACACACCGGGTCGTGAGCGGCCAACAAGCGCGAAGCCGCCAGTAACGGCTGCAGCGGCAATTGAAGATCTCCATGGCGATGCGATAAGGTCGCGTTGTGTAGCGATTGCGCCAGGTGGTCTCCCGGTGATGGCATGCTGACTCTCGCCTGGGTTATGTTAGGATACTGGAGCTACATCTGGTCGCGCAACTCACCTTCAGGAACCAGCAACCGCACCATGGTGGATTATGACTTTTCCAGCGTGTGCAAAGGTGGAGGTAAAGCCGTGGTCGCCATCGGAGGTTGATGTTGCGACGTTGATGCGGCGTAGACGGAGGTGCTGGAAGGTACGCGCGCTTCCAAGATTCCGAGGAGCGCGTCCATGATGTCGAGGCGAGGATGCAGCGACCCTTGCGATAGCGCATCCGCCGCGACAATCGTAGTTAGAATCTCCTTGCATTACCTCTATTTTCACTGGTGATTATTAATAAGAAACTGTGTACGCCCCGGGACATTTTTGGCATGTGAAATTGTTTTGAAATTATCCTGTAAATCTCCAGGCTATTGTATATCTTGTTGTACGCATCGTTGATTGAACTTAGTGTGCTGCTTGTTTGGCGTGGCAAAAGGCGGATTGTGTATAAAGGTACCACGTCAAGCTTACCCCCTGAGTTACTTGAGCTTCCGACTATCTCAACGACCAATGGTCAGATTACTCTGAAACTATCAGTGTGCATCGTTTGTACCATCGTAAGCTAGTCATATTACCCCTCCATCGTTCGTGTTCGTGTTGTGGTCCCCACATATGCGGACTTCAGCCGCCCAACACTGAGCCGTAGCTTCACCATGACTCAACCAATTACTTCATTATTAACACAGGTTGTCAATGAAGGGCGGGGCTACAAGATGTGCTAGATTGTGTGCAATTACGATATGTAATTACCAATTCCTGGTCTCTCCATCAACAGCTGCAACAGCAAAATGGTCTTATGGTGTAAGTACCAAGCATTCAATTCTATTCAAACAACTTCTAACACACAACAGCTAGTGGTATGATTCTCGCTTAGGGAAAGCGTCTTCGGACGCTTGCAAACCCAAGCATAGCTTGCGAGAGGCCCCGCGTTCGAGTCGCGGTAAGACCCATCTTTTTGCGCTTCTAGAGGCCCTGGCGGGGTCAGAGAGACCAGGATTGGCAGCAGAACCTCTTTTTGCATGATTAGGTAGGTTATTGAGATATTCACATTGAAGGGTCTACAGATATACATGCTCCTGTCAAGCAAATCAACTTGGTTGTACGATAGCGCGTCAAGACTTCATATGTTTTGTGCGCAACGATGTGATACTCTATCTCGTGACAGGAAGAATACTTGCATTGCGGTTACAATCTACAGTCTCCCCCCTAGTTCAGGTGCCTACTGCGTCTTAGCGATTTTAGGAGTTGTAATTTGTTAAATCTCTTGTTGCTAGCTACTACGCACTTTGCTAGCATTGCGTTACCCTTATTAAGAAGAAATGCTAGTAAATAGAGCCTTATTTAAGAGGTTTATTCTTTACAAAGATATCTACTTTACTCTTGCTGCGCTCTTTTATTAGCTAAAAAAGGGTTGAAATTTACGCCAGGCACCCGGACCGGGGGAGAGACTGTAGTATTGCGTCTGTGTTGCACTACTAGCACATCAATCTGGAAAACTTTTGAACACGCATACACACACATTGGGAGGCCATGACGAGGATAGCAATAATTCAGCATCTACTAGGTTATCTACGTTCCATTTGACTTCGCAGTGTCACCCTTCTGATTCTGCGCAACCCCAAATGTTGCGCCGCCTTCCTCCATGAACCTCCTCTCCTCCTCTGTACTGGTCCTACCCAAGGCAGCATTTCGATGCGGATACCTACCAAACCGCTCCACTGGATCCCTGTGTTCCTTCGCAGCTTTCTGGTAGTTCTCAATCAACATCTTCGTGCCATTGTACCCGTCCAACCCCTCGAGTTCTTGCGCGAACTCCGCTATTATTTCGCCGGCGAGATCGTGGGCGGACAGGTCTTCGGAATGCATGAGTGGCATGTAGAACCAGGTCCTGTGCGCGGCAGAGAAACGGAGCGCAGGATGTTTGTCGGGGCGGCCAATTGGCGATGCGGGTGAGAGGAGGTTGCGAACGAGCGCATGGCCCATGCGATCGTAATGCCCATACACCAGACGCAGCCCTTCGTCTGTGCGGTAGATATTCCGCGGCATCTGGTCTAACAGGAGTGCGAAGCTGAGTGCTGTCCACGCAGCGTCTTCTCCTGTCGCGCCATCTGCCTTGTTCTCTTCCTCCGCGACACGCACAATCTCGTCTAGGAAAGGTTGCGCATTCGCTTCTGGGAACTTCTCTGGGCCAATAGCTTCAAGGGCTTTGCCGCAGACATCCCTACATTGGCCGTCGAGGGCAAGTCGCTCTTCTGGACTGCCTGCGAACCAGCGCTTTGCGATGCTCATGTCAAACTCCTTGCCGCTGGTGTCGACGCCAGGGAACCAGATGTCTGTTATCTTTCTGTATAGTGTCTTGTTGAAGATGGCAGGGTCGAGCGAGAAGGTAGAGGTGGACATCGTGCGCGGTAATGTGTTCGGGACGTTCAGCGGTTGGAGGTTCGACGGGCGCAGACTCGACAGATACAGGCTGGATGTGAGGAAGCGCAAAGGCGTGCGAGCTGTGAAGCGAGTAAGCATATCCTACGATGTCAGTTATGAGATTATACGCGCAAGCTTTTATACGTAGAGCTGAATGGACTCTATGACGCGCCCCGTGAGCTTGTTGTGCGCCTAAATCACGATTCTCTGGCTGCCTGGAGGAACGATGGATGCGCTCGGTGGCTACGAAGAGCCGACAGGGACGGCTGACTAAATGACTGCCAGAATTCCGGATCCAGGGTCGCTCGGCCTCCATCGCGCACTCTGATTACCTGAGACAATCTAATCATTCTGCGCATGTCATCGCAATGGAGGTAGTGTGCAGACAAAGTTAGCAGTACGCGACCTGTCCTTCCAAAGTTGGTGGTGAGGACGACGCGACGGATATCGGCCGAGCTTGCGTCGGCGCGCAATTTTGGAAGTACGCGCTACGAGACCTTGGGACCTTCCCCAACACCAAACTCGAAGTCTCTTGTACACGGACCGAATACGTCGGAAGTTGGAGTAACGTACACGTCTAAACAAGCTCACCAGCATGGCTCCAGGACTTACTCCGCATTCCCCTCTCCCGCTTTACGTATGCAAAGGGTACCTAGGTAGGATTCATCCATCCGAACATGTGGGGAACCTGCATGATGGTGCATCAAGCACTCTGCGCTTCGCGATACGTTGATATACTATGGGCATGTTCGCGCATGTCTGATCATTAAAATAGGCGGTTGCTAGACGTACTACTCACTCCGATCTAGATACTTCTGTTCAAGTTTCCTTCTGAACACTCCTTGAGCGGTATCGTCCCCACGCAGCCCCACATGTATACCATCACTTTCCTCCTATTCTCCATTTGGATCTTTCTACTGTACAGGCGATACAGCAACAGACCGCCAACTGGCACGAAGGCCGCGCCAGGTCCTGCTGGTCTTCCGGTTCTTGGGAATGCACATCAATTGGGCCAGCAACCGCACCAGCAAATCACCGCGTGGGCTCGCGAGTACGGCGAAGTCTACAAAATCCGTTTGGGCTGGAACGACTGGTACATGATTTGTTCTCCCGAAGCATGCAAGGAGATTCTGGATAAACAATCTGCCCATACAAGCTCTCGAACGCCGTTGCCGGTATCTGGTGATGCACTTGGTGGTGGCATGCGATTCCTGTTTATGGAATACGGACCGGAATGGCGGAAGCTGAGAGGCATCAGTCATAAGCTTTTGACACCTGCTGTCAGTGCGACGTTCAAGCCCAGTCAGGATTTTGAGGCGAAGATGTTGCTTGAAGAGATACTGAAGGGTGCAGATGCAGCGCAAGGGAATGGAGTTAGCTACAAGGCCATTCGAAGATACACTGTGAGCGTCATCATGACTAGCACGTATGGGAGACGTATTCCAGAATGGGTGAGTAGCGCTTTTGAACAAATGAGAATGTCAATGCTGACATGTAACAGGATTGCGACGAAGTGCACGGTATCTACGACATAATGAACGACTTTTCCACGATCGCAAAACCAGGGACGTACCTAGCAGACACGCTTCCGTTTCTCGGCAAGCTTCCACCGCAACTACAATGGTGGCGTAAGGCGGTCAAACCTTACTTTGACAAACAAGCCAATTTGTGGATGTCTTTCTGGAGTACACTCAAGACTCAGATGGAGACCAAGCAGGCCCCGGAATGCTTCGTCAAGCAATGTAAGTGATATCGCTATGAGAACTTCATGTTGCATATATCCTGACCCCTTACGCCTATAGTCATCGAGAGCGATTACGAGAAGCAGGGTATCAGTGAACTGCAGGCGGCGTTCTTAGCTGGTAGCATGATCGAAGCGGGCAGTGAGACAACATCCGCGGCACTCAACACTGCTATTCTCTACCTCAACGCGAACCCGGACGCACGACAGAGAGCAATCGACGAAATCAGAGGTGTCATTCCACCTTCTCGGTCACCAACATTTGAAGACGAACCGGGACTGCCCTTTATCCGTGCCATCGTCAAAGAGACTCTACGCTTACGCCCCGTCACTAACATCGGTACACCACATTACACGACTGCGCCTATAACCTACAAAGGCATCCACATACCTGCCAAGTCAGTCGTATGTCTACAACAATACCCGATACACTACGACTCCAACGTGTTCGAGGACCCTCATAGCTTCAAGCCCGAGCGCTATCTAAACCACCCTCATGGAAGTGGACACTATGCAGCCGGACCAGCTGCAAGCCGCGATCACTGGGCTTTTGGTGCGGGCCGTAGGATCTGCTCGGGCGTGCATCTAGCCGAGAATAGTATGTTCATCGTGCTAGCCAAGCTGTTATGGGCTTTCGACATCTTGCCGCCGCTAGATCCACATGGAAATGAAGTGCAGGTAGATACCAGCGATGAAGCGTTTGATGCTGTCGGAAGCACGACGATGGCGAAGCCGTACGTGGTGAGATGGAAGCCGCGCAGTGAGGAGACTAAGGAGACGATCTCGAGAGAAGCGGCTGAAGCTAGGAGGGATGGATATGTATTGAGGGGTGTGCGTGTTGGTGAGGAAGGTGTTAAGCTATAGACATGCTGGTTGGGCTGTCACGTGCGCCTGTTGTCACTCATCCCAACTTTGTTCAGACGTGCTTGCCCTGTCCTAGTTTCGTTATCGCGCTTGTTCGTTGTTTGTCGTGTCCACTTAGACCAGTGCTCTTCTACCCCCCGCCTCGTTCCTACCTCGCCGTCGCCTCCCATCTTGATCGCGACTACCACAACAAGATAGAATCTCACTCCACGTGTTTGTCATGTCGTCACCAAACAACAAGACCCAAGATGATCCGCAGCCACCGCCGACCGTGATGCCTTCGACACCACCCCGACCAGCCTCATTAGACGATAGCCAATCTCTGCAAGGCGACGACAATATGAGCTCACGATCAACACCCACCAACTCACGGGGTTCCAACTTTTCCCCAGCCGATTGTCGCACCCTCCAAAAGATTCTCCGTGACGTACGCAGCCCTTCACCTCTCTCCGCAACGTCATACTTTGACGACACACCCGCAAGGAAGCTCAATCTCACTGCGACACCTACCGGTAGCCTCGCGGAAGAGCGAGTCGCCCAGAAGGAGAAGGTGTTCGATTCTGGCGATGAACGAGAGGGAGGCTACGAGGATGAAGATGACAGTATGGATTTGAGCGATGAAGAGGATGCTTTCGGTACAGGCAGACAGAAAGATGGGGATACGATCGAGGATGTTATGAACCTTCCTGGCAAGACAACACCGCCGGTAGCTGACCAGGACTTTAGCAGGTTCTATGCCCACGATAAGCCCACACCTGATGAGCCTAGCAAGCTGCAGCTTCGTCGCGCTTCGATCGAAAAAGACTTGAAGGAGCAATGTCGACAGCAGGAATGCGCATCAGCGATTGCTGCAACAGACGGTGTCTTTGACACCGACGCGCTAAACCACGGTGTGTCAAGCCAGGCGTTAGCTATCGATGGAAACAGTGATCTCAAGAATCTACAAGAAGATATTGGGATGCACCCAGTGGAAGAAGAACAGGCGGCCACCAGTGCGCTTGATGTGAGTACCCACCATGGAGAGCTTAATCGACGTATGCTGAATATGTAACAGTCCCTTGAAGCCTACAGCGACCGACCTCGAGCGCGCATCTCACCTCGCAACGTCCGCCGTGCGTCTGAAGATGCACTACCAGTGTCAACCTCGTTCATTGCCTTCCCTTCTCCTGCCCGTGCGGTCGTTCAAACTCCCAACGGGAGACACGTCGACTTTGCGCCTTCGGCTACTACACCAGTCGCGCCTTTGACGAACGCTCCCAGTTACTTTGATTCTCGCCGAGTAAAAGACAGCACGCCGCACAAGAGCCGCCGCAGTGCCTCTTCGCCGACAGAAATTGTCGATCTAGCACGGGAGGCTAGAGTGGAAGAGGAGGAAGCGGAGCAAAGGGAGTTGGCAAATCTAGATCAATTCAGGGACTTGGATCTTGCACCGATAGAGACTGTCATGGAGGGCGGATCAGCTGGCGACTTGATCATGTGCGGAGCTCCTGCGAAAGCCAGTGACAAAGCCCTCTTTCTCCATAGCGCATCTGATACCGTGGACTCCGAGATGGAAGATTGGATCGACCTACAACGCCCGCAGTCCAGACTACCTTCACCACGTCGACCAAACTTGCTTGTCGAGCAGGACGAGGAGAATGACGCCGATGTTGAGGAGTCAGATAGTACATCTGATCCAGAACAGCAGCAGCTCGCCGGTCTCCCACGATACCCTACTTTCATCACTGTCATCAGCATGATACCAGCGGCTATCTTCTGGGCTACTGCTGCATCAATCGTTGACTGCAGTAGCAAAGCATTTGATACGCTCATCGAGAAGCTGACTGGGCTAAAGGTCTAGAGTGGGACTGGGCTCCAGTGCAACACTATGACTGTGTTTCCAGAGAAGGGGACCACTAGGAGGGGATTGCGCGCTGCATGATTGGAATGAAGTATAATATATTAAGTAGATGGCCATGAGAAACACTTTGCTTTTCGAGACCTCGGATCCGCATCCTAACTCTGCCTGTCGCTGTGCAACACCGTTACTATGCGACTCAACGCCACCCAATGCAAATCGTATACACCTTCCAGGACCAACAAACCCTCCGTACTGTTCTATACCACGCTGTTGAAGCGTCCCGAACTAGCTGTGATCACAATCAAAGACCATCAATAGATCTTGTTTTCGGTCATCTCCATCATCCTCTTCCCCACAGGCCTTGCAATTGAGTAATTGAAAGGCACTGCTGAGAAGAGGACGCTAACCGTCACCGGGAATTCCTTTCGCCCTCTTCCCCTTCGCCATCTACCTCGTCATCCCCATCGTCGTTGCCGCGACCGTCGTAATCGGTCAAATCGTCGCTCATGATATGTAGTATTTGGCTGAACGTCCTGCTCTTCCACCGGCCCATGCCCTCCATTAGATCCGAACAATGTAGCAGAGTACGGCGAGCAGCAAGATACCCTCCTTCCAGTGCGATTCCCGTTATGCTGAAGCTGCCGCCGCGGTGTATGAAGTTGACGACTTGAGTGGCGTCCCCGAATCCTATGGGCGATTGTGGGGTATCGATGAAACCGAGTTGGCCGACGGAGATCCAGTCTACGAGATCGAGAAGCTCAATGCAAGAGTCGCTCATGGGCCTGTTGTCGGTTGGTGGGAGAGCGAAGATATACAGGCCAAGGACGAGGGCGGCGTGGAAGAGCGCTACCACGCTGTGAGGGTTGACGATGTCGCTGACTTTACGGTCGAAGAGTAACTTATAGATGTGCGCGGCGTGTAACACGCTCCTTCTCGCGCTTGGTGTTTGGCACCACATTGAAATGTCTTCCAGAGCGTTGACGGCAGGTTCGGGACCGGAGCGTCCTGCTGCGAGTTCGAAGTAGCGTATGTTTGCTCCAAGGACCATACAGGAGGCGTGCCAGAGGACGGCGGAGTTCAGATCCGCAGTACGAAGTGCGTCGATTGAAGAGCCGGAGAGATTCACCAGCAAGGGAAGGATATCTCGACTCCGCGCATCTTCGGCATATATCCGCCAAGGCTCGAGCTGCTTCTGGTTTCCTGTCGCGGGAGCAAGCCTGTCATTGCTCTCGTAGATGCGTAGTAAGAGGAGAGTTAGTAATGATCGGAAGCTTGATGCGTCGAGCTTGAGGCCTGGGGTCGGATGGAACGATGGTGTTATCCTCTGCGAGTGGATTCTCGCCCCTCGCTGTACGAGATGGAACCACTTCGCCGCACTGTTGACGTGGTAGAGCGAGTAATCTGAGGGCGGCAGAATCTGGACTGTCTCGGGGCGAATCATCGGTGCTGTCGAGAGGTAGCCTGCCCACCAGCAGTCTGCTTCGATAAGACCAAAGATGATGCGTTTAGTGCATTCGACCTTTGACCAAGCCTTCCACTTTGAGTCGATATCGATCATCTCATCCAAGAGAGGATCTATCTTCACGCCTTCATTGGCAGAGAAGAGACCTTGGCTTTGCGCAAACTAAGAGAGTCAGTCACGTTCGAAAGCGTGGTACAAGCGGTCACATACCCCGATAAGCTCTGCATACATCTTCTCAGCTTGCGCAATACGACTTTTCCGCTAAATGAACATTAGCTCATGACTTGCATGATCGATGATTACTACCTACTCCGGTGATAGACGCTAGATTCAAGGCTAGCAAGCTAGTGGCAATGATCCGCATCTGCCGATGTGGCGGATGATCTGTTGTTGGAAGGGTCTGTAGCTCGGCCAACGCGAGTTGTAACACAGCCTTGTCAAGGGTCAGTATATGTGAGATGTACAGCTATCGCATTGCTTACCGGGAATGTGCGAGTGACAAACTTGGCTGCACCTGCGGTACCAAGAATACTCAGGCCGATGAGACACATGCAAAGTAGTAATGGCCGTGGCGCATTCTTTGCAGAGAACGTCGGAATGTGGATAATCGGAAGGGTTGGGTGGAAGTAGTAGAGATACATCTCTAGAGCGATGTCCAAGATCTCGGCGGGGGGGAATTGTACACCTTCGATGCTCGGACTTCCTGCGGCATCCCCGCTCGAAGATGCAGTGTCGCCATATGATTCGGATCTTGGTGGATTAGATGCCGGTAAGTTGTGCAAGGCGCTCTGAAGTCTGCCTCTGCACTCCTCATCCAATCCCCATCGCGAGTTCCGCCGCTCCCTTTCACTCATAGGCGTCTCCATAGCTCCAGAGCCGACCTCCGACAGTATGTTGGTACATTCACACGCTACAAGGTTCTGCCACAGATCGGGCATAAGCCGGGAGGATTTGCGATTCCGGGAGGGCCAACAACTTTGGACTCGCTGGAATCGCTCTCGCGGCACTCTGCTTGCTATTGAGACACTGCTGCCCGATGGACTGGCCTGATTTTCTGGGAGTGCTTGGAATGCTCCGTGCTCGAAGAAGCCTTCCACGCCGAGGTGATGCGATCCTTGGGGAGTGTTCATATCGCCCTCGAGCGGAAACAGCCAAGTTTGTAACGCATCTGCAGGAGTGCGATTGGGGACTGGGTTGTTGCTTTGAACGAGTTCGAAAGCCCACTGGTCCAAACTTGAGACATGCCCGGCTGGCGAGAACGAGAGCGCTTCCATAGCTGGGTCGATAGGTGGACCCATGCTCTCATGGGGATTTCGATTTGACATCTGGACATTCTCGGCACGCGCAATAATCATAGGCGATGGCGACCGCCAGGGTGTGTCTGCTCCAGGCTCCAGATGTTGGGCCGCGTTGATCAGCGCTTCGATCCGGTCCTCACCGGGTGACGGCGGTTGTAACCGCGATGAAGAATGACGGCCATCCGTGGGAGGTGATAGATGCGCATTGTAGTGGTTATTCACATTGATCTGCGGTATTTGCGACTCTCTCCTCCTGGACATAGGCGAGAAGTTGGAGTCTTCGCGGATCAATGGTGTTGCTGCTGGAGTCGGGCCGTTTACGTTCCGTGAGGCAGATGGTCGTGATGTTTGATTCTCGTCCATGGAGTTGTGGCGGAATTCTTGCTGGTCGTTGGTGTTTTGTTCATTACTCTTCATCCGGTTCATCGCATTCTGCGCATGGCCTTTGCAGTGCCGAAACAGGACATCGCTATATGAAGAGGTTGGACGCTAGTACGGAGGTTTTTCATTGGGGGCCTCACCTGCGCGAGAAGTGCTTTTTGCATGTCGGGCACTCATAGGGGCGCTCTCGTGTGTCTGAGATGGTGTTTAGCTCACAGCTGATGATGGAGGTTTGAGATGGACGAACGGGACCGCTCGTGCCGCTTCACGTGCTCTACTGGAATCGGGGTCAGTACACTTTCTACACGCGTTCGGCAATCACGTACACTTGGTGAATGTGCGATCGCACATGCTGCACTGCTTTAACGCCATGTCGCTCGTCGCAAAGATTTGATGTGTTGGCTGATGATCGGAGGACCCTTCGCAGGCCGGAGTCTGCAGGTGCTGTCGGTCGCCAAGCGATCGCGGCTGCGGGGGAAAGCAAGACCATGACTCGGCCTAAGCATTATAGGCTCATCTCAACTCATCTACAAAATGCATATAAACCTGCAATCCTGCTGCTGCAGATTGCGCCGCGCGCACATCTGCGCATCCGAAGACTACAGCTGATCCTTACGTTGGTGGTCCATAGTCGCCGCTTGGAGATACCTCCGGCGCTCGGGACCCTCATCTGATCGCCAAACACCGTACCAGCTCCTAGCACCACCGATCGCTCCGTGCCTTATCACGGCCGTTGGATGACGAGGTAAATGCTCCTTTGAATCGCCCTCAAATTACCAGACTTCTCGAAGGATTTCGTCCTACACCAACCCCGGATCGACTCGCATGTGGGACTATGAGGCGTACGCTAGTGGGGCCTCCCCTGGCTGCTGACCGTTGTTGGAATCATCCACTGTCTCATTCGCCTCATTAAGCTGGTTAGCTCTGCTTGATCTGGTGCGTATAATCAATCAATTGCTACTTTGGATATCGGCTAGCTGCGTTTCGTTGCGTCAATCTTCCGCTAGAGGGTCACACATCAGACAATGGCGTCTCAGATAAGTAATCAACTAATCGACACTGAATCGCCACAACCACAGCGCCAGGTACTAGCAAGTTCGTGACATGTCTTTGCCTAGCTCGACGAGATTGTGAGGCTGTATAGTATTGGATGTTTGGTCAATACGCAGGGGCATGCAGTTGGCCATGGTTAGATACTCTCTGCCTTCGGCGGTGTATTGAAAACTCCGATATCAATATCAAAAATAGGCAAGCGAAGCACATCATCTTGAGCCGAACGGAAAGTCGGAGATCATTCGCACCGATACTTCCATTTTCAGAACACGAAGATGTCTATGCCACCTTGGCGAACATGTCCAACACTGCGGAATACACCACCAACAATACGCCACCACCAGGCCCAAACCTTAAGATCTTCGCCACATAGCCCTTGTACAACGCTCTGAACCCTTCTTCCCTCGCAACAACCCCCAAGCTCGGCCACGCCCAAGCGTACTTTTGTCTTACACCAGGCGTTTTGGCAACGCTCTGTATTCGACTCTTGACAACATCTAGTGGTGTGTTGAACGTCGTTCCTACAACACCGCCTATGAACCCTGCTATGAGGTCGTTCCCCATCTTCTGCCTTCTTGGATTGCTTGAGGTTGCCGGGGCAGGCAGCTGAGCGCGTACCTGGAAGATACAGCCAAAGTACCCGGCATTCCATACGATATGTCGCCATAACGTGGCTTCAAAGCCGTTGTACAACGCCAATGGACCTTCTTGGCGGACTACCTTGACGAGACAGTCGAGCAGCCCATGGTATCGTGACGCGGAGGTCTTATCCTGAAGTCGGATCTTGAGGAGCTCAAAGGGAACAACTACGAGAGATTCGGTCGCGCCAGCGCTGGCACCGGTGAGGATGGCGAGAGGTTGGGTCAGGCTTGGGGCTGAGAAGAGGCGTTGATAGAACTGCGTGAACGAGTCATTTGCGGAGAACTTGATAGCACTGTTTTCAATCAGTCGCAATCAACAAAGACACGAACTCGGGTCGTACCGCTTGGGAACCTCCATCAGTATTGGCGCAGTGATGCCACGATATAGTCTTAATACACCTTCATTGCGAATGATCTTTCGGAAGCAGTCTAGAACGCCGCTGTACCCTTCACCATCGATAATTTTGCCATGCTGAAGTTGAATTCGTGTTTTGACTACATCAAGGGGGTACCTATCTACACTCTTAGCACTCGCTTCTGACCTCCGATACCGAGACAATCTTACATTACCAAAATCTCCGATATCCCAGCTACAGCCCCGGCAGCAAATTGGTAGCGGAAAGGCAGTGGTGCTGCATTGTTGCCATTGCCAACGGTAACCTTCTTAGTCGCCATGTTGGAAACACGTACTCAATACAGTCTGTACTTTCACGCGTTCAGCATGCCGTTACCAGCCATGCAACCCTTCCACCACACTACCAGTACGCCTCCCATCCCCACTACCTCCATTATTCCACACGAACGGCTTCTGCAATATCCAGACCACATGGCACATGCAGGGCACAATACACCCGCGATATGGCCAAGAGCACGTCGCGTGAAGGACGTTGTGGGGTGCATACTGATGGCGCATGTGGGGCCAGGCGTTCCGGTGAGATGTGGGGCCTACGCGAAACGTCACTTTGCTGACAATCGACACGCGGCTCAGGAAATTTCGGTGGCTGACTCTCGGACAGTTGCGTCCCAATGCGTCGGAAGAATCGGACCTCGGAGATGAAGTGTGTCTGAATCATGTGAGGACGTGTGTGCTCGCGCTTGGTACTCTAGTTGTTTGTTTTCGGACGCGTCTTCGCGATGGGGGATTTGGAATACTGGGTACGCGACTACTACGCCACCTGTCTACGCGACTACCTTCTTCTCTCTCAGCTCTCTGATACCGGCCTCGTCGTACCCCAGTATGTCCCTCAAGATCTCATCCGTATGCTGACCCAACAACGGCGGCGGACTCCTGATCCGCGGCTCTGCTCTCGAATATTTGACCGGATGATTGACAAGCTTTACCTTGCCTACAGCAGGGTGCTCAACCTCTTCGATCATATTACGCGCAAGAACATGCTCGTGCTCGACCGTGCCCTTGATGTCGTTGACAGCCGCGTATGGCATCCCGCTACCCTCGAAGATTTCCAACCATTCCTGCGTTGTCTTGGTCATGAGCTCGGTCTCTACGAGCGTGTCGATCTCGGTACGGTGCTTGACGCGGAGCGCGTTCGTGAGGAAGCGAGGATCGGTTTTCCATTCTGGACGCTGTAGCTTGTCGCAGAGGATGCCGTATAGGCGGTCGTTGCAGCCGCCGACTGCGATGTTGGTGTCTTTCGTTTTGTAGGCTCGGTAGGGTACTACTGTTGCTGTGGTGGAGTCAGCATCGCCATTCTGGCACATAGCTCATGTATGCGCTCACCGTGTGCAGTTCCCCATCGTCCGCTATCGCCCTTTCCTGTCACCAGCGCGCTGCTGGCGATGTTTGCCAACCCCGCGACCTGCACGTCGCTCAAACTCGCGTCGATCCACTGACCCAAGCCGGTCTCTTTCCGCGAATACAACGCTGCTTGTATGCCGATCGCAGTGTACATCCCGGTCATGATATCCGTCACCGCTACGCCGACCTTGACTGGGGGCCCATCGCGCTCGCCAGTGATATGCATCAAGCCCATCTCGGCCTCAACCATGACGTCGTAACCCGCGCGGTCGCGGTATGGCCCTGTTTGCCCATAGCCGGTGACAGACGCGTATATCAAGGAAGGATTGAGCTTCGCAAGCGTCGCGTAGTCGAGCTGGTACTTTGCAAGTGATCCAGGGAGGTAGTTTTCGACGAGGACATCGCACTCTTGGGCTAGTCTATGGAGAATGGAGACACCGGTGGGGTTGTTGAAAGCGAGTCCGACAGACTTCTTGTTGCGATTCACCTGCATCATGTTAGCAGTGTGAACGAAATAGTCGTGCGGCAAGTCCTACAGAAAGATAGTATGCACTTTCGCCAGGGAATTGACGCTCGATGCCATCGGTATAGGGCGCATCTGGTGGACCCCAAGATCTCGTATCGTCGCCTCTTGTAGGGTGCTCGATCTTGATAACGTCCGCTCTGAACGCTCATCAGCATATGTGATGTATGAGTTTACAGTTATTGCATACCCTAGATCTCCAAGAATCTGTGTACAGTATGGCTACTGGATGTTAGCGACCATGATCTTCCGTCTGAGCAACATTTACATACTCCTGCAAGCACCCGCGTCATATCCAATACTTTGATGCCAGCCAAAGGTAGTTTCTCAACCATCTGCTTGTTTACATCGCTCTTCGTCGCAATGTTTCTCCTCCATGTTTGCGACGTTCGACTCGCGATCCGATTAGCCGCATGTCGGAAGTGCGCGCGTTGAGCCGCTTTCGCGACAGCTCCAAAAGGATACGACATGGTCTTACTCCAGACCTGCCATGCCAACACACAGTCATGTTAAAGAAAACGAGCATAACTTCTTGAGGTTCCTGCCCCACATGACGCTTGTGGGGTCGGCAAAGGGTATGGAGTGTGAATGCACAGACGTTTCTAGTTCGCTATGCCAAAGCTTGCGATGCTCATTGTATGGAATTGGAATTATCGTGTACATGTAGTATCGGAGAATGCAAAATTACATCGCTAAAACGCCTGGAACACTCAAGACCGTGAAAACAGAGACTCAATCATGCGTGGACGCCGTTCGTCCCGTTGGTCTTTGACTCAGGGCTCAAATATTGCTTGAGCTCCTCCGCATGGACACCATCCGTATCGCTGGTGTTTGCGCCATGTGAAAAGCCACCAAAGTAGTATGGTGCAAGCCTCTTCTTCTCAGCGATCTTGTCGTCTTTGATCCGGGCAAGCAACTCCTGCGCTCGTTTGTTGGCGGAGAAGCGGTCCGGAAGAGCGTCCCAGACCTTGTAGTCAGTACCGTGTGTTTCGATTGTTCCGCAGCCTTTACGGGCGTACTCGGTAAAGAGGAACAGACGACTCGATTCGACCATGATGGTCAGTTGGTCTGGTTATCAGTCAGTATGTATACGCAAATCGGCGATGGGATGAACTTACCAGTCAATATCTTCTCGGGTTGATTCTCATGTATCCGCATGCCGTGCTGGTATCCCTCATGGAATCCACCGTGAGGCGTGTGGCCACCCTCGAAACTACCACCACCGGGCTGGAAGTCGTCGCTTCGTCCAAGACCTTGTCCGTATAAACAGGCAAGGAATTCTGACGCGGAATTGCGGTGGAAGTAGGGCAACCGGAAAGTGTTGGTCGCAACATCCCATCTTGGGCCGAACCAGAGGAAGTCTGCGAGTGGTGTCATGGGATCGCGGGACTTGGCTGTGAGTACTGTGAAGATCGAAGGATCAGTGTGGTCGATAGATGTGCTGTTCTGTGACGAGAACTTCGTCAGATCGTATTTGTAAGGTACGACATTGCCGTGCCATGCGACAAGGTCGAAGGGGCTGTGGTCTTGTTGGATCGCCACGAGCTGACCATTCGTCTTGTTGACAATCTGCCAATCGACGTGCAAATCATCATCGATAGCAGCTACCGGGTAGAGGAAATCGCGAGGGTTGGCAAGACCGTGGCCGCCTAGTGGGCCGAGATCAGGAAGCTCCCACATAGAGCCCCATACTTCTGTGATGTAGCCACGCGCCACTGGCGTGCCCGGTGCTAGATTGAGGCAGAAGCGGATGCCGCGCTGGATGACACAGATCTCACCGGGCTGTAGGAAAATCTTGCCCATCTCTGTCTTGATATCTAGATTACCCTGTTGGGCACAGATGAGGAAGTCACCGTCGGTATTGCAGAACGCTCGCTGCTCCATACTAGAGTTAATCATATACACGTATAGCGCAAGACCCTCCTTGATGTTTGGGTCTCCGCTACCGCAGAGAGTATGCAGGCCATCCGCGAAGTCAATCTTCTCGTCGTCTTTTGGCAGTGGGAACGGACGCCATTCTGCTTGCTCGGGAAGCGTGTCGACCTTGGGATTGATGGACAAGAAGCAGTTTGTGATGTTGGACTTTGTCTCGATAGGAACGTAACCCTCTGTCACACGTTAGCCAATGTCTGCGAGAACTTGCCGCAATACGTACTGTGAGCAGCCGCTGGTCGACACCGGTACATATAAGTGCTGAAGTTGTGTGCACGTGGAGCTGCGAACGCTGAATACGTAATGCCTTCAGTGTAAAGTCCAAACCGGACTTCTTGGGGGTTGTTCTGAGCGACAGGTAGAGTGCCAGGAATGACCTCAGACTGATGTCGGTTTCCCCATCCTGCTTGGTAGTCGTAAGGATCGTTTGCACGCGTTGGCTTCAGTCTTTGGAGATCGGTGAAATGAAATGCCTTTTGGGGGTCGGTAACGAGCTGGCGTTCTTTGAAGTCTTGCATGGTGTTTAGCGTATGACGATGATTGTAGGAGTGATCTAGCTTACCATGTAAAGATTTCAGCCTTATATTGGAGTATCCATGGCCGTGGAATGCTAGGCCGACATCTGCCGCACTTGGGTGGTCCGGCCTGCGCATCGTATGTGGTGGCGGGGCCCGACCCTGATAATAGCGGGGTTTCCGTTTCGGTAACTGGGCTACGGGAGCTGTGAGAGGCCCACATAGTGGCCGCGACCGGGTTAGTGGAACTCGTCAGATGAAAGTATGATAGCCTTTCCCACATGGAGGTCATGGTAATGTGGACGTGGCGCACTTGCGGGGTTCTTCATTGCTTCTGAGAAGAGCACCAATCGAGAATATAGTGCTGACTCAGATGAACCAGTCAGAATGTGGTTCTCCCTCATATCTACGCATGGCGATTGTTGTTCCCTGATGAATGACATGGATGTGATCTATTTGGATGCAGCTAAGACCTCGTCCACCATGAGTCCACATGAGCCTAGATAGTTCTTTGCATCGCACAATGAGCTCAGCTCTTCGCCGGAGATCTTATCGGTAATCTCGGGTCGTGTCTGTAGAGCTTCCAACAAGCTGGTGTCGTTCTCAATGCTTTCTTTGCATGCCTCGTAGACAACGTCGTGAGCTTTTGACCGACCGACGTGCGGAGCAAGACCCATCATGACAGCTTCTGCGACAATAAGACCTCTAGTGGAGTAGAGGTTCGTGAGCATCTGCTTCGAATTGACTACCAGACCAGAGAGCGCAAAGTCAGCTTGGTACAGCGCTCCGACAGCCATAACGAAGCTCTCCGGGACGGCCACCCATTCGAGATGCCATGGACCGGAAGCACGCTCGAAGTCCGATACCATGCCATCCAGCACCAAGCCAGCATTCGATCGCAGGACCTTCGATGCGGCTAAGATGACCTCGCTCGAGATGGGATTTCGCTTCTGAGGCATAGTTGAGGAAGCACCGCGGTGTGGTACAAAGGGCTCTGACACTTCCGAGAGCTCATTGGAAGACATGATGATAATGTCTAGGGCAAGCTTGCCGAGGGTACCACCAACAAGCGCGAGATAGTTGGTGATCTCTGCAACACCATCTCGGGCGACGTGCCAGGTGATCGGAGGATCTGTCAGACCCAGGTCTCTTGCCATTTCCTTTCGAACACGAATGCCATCATCGCCCGAACCTAGTGAAGCCAAAGAACCTGCGGCGCCTCCGAACTGTACCATCAAGGCGCGAGGTTTGAGCTGCTCAAGACGCTCGAGATGTCGTTGGAACCCAGATAGCCAAATAGCGCACTTGTGGCCAAAAGTGATAGGAAGAGCATGTTGAAGATGGGTGCGACCAGCCATGGGCGTATCCCGGTGCTTTCTTGACAGGTCTTCGAGGTTTTTGATGACGGAGCGGAGTGTGCGCTCAACGATCTCGAGGCCCTCCTTCATCTGCAGAATGCTTGCCAGATCCATAATGTCCTGCGTTGTTGCTCCCCAATGCACGTATCGCCCAGCCTCCTCACCGCATGATGCAGAGAGCTGTCGCACCAAAGGAAAGATGGGGTAGCCGACGATCTCAGTTTCGTTGCGTAGCCTATCGTAGTCCAGTTCGACTTCGCGAGCTTTGGATGTCACAATCTCTCCGATGTGAGATGGTATGACATTGCACTTTGATTGTGCTCTTGCTAAAGCGGTCTCAGCATCAACGCATCGATTGATATACGCTTTGTCATCGAAGACCTTTCTGATCTCATCGGTTCCAAACAGCGTGCGGAAGATTACTGAGTCGATAGCGCTCACGCTGCCGAGAGATCGCCGTTGGAGACGAAGGGTGGTTTGCCGGGGGATGGCACGCAGTGGGACGCGTCGAAACAGGAACATGATGTGTGTTGCGGTTGTGCAGCACCTCAATGAGTCAATGAGTGACGAAGGGGAGGTGAAGCTCCAAAAGGAGTTCCAGCACTATACAAGACATAGCGGCCTTGAAGCGGTGGACGTGTGGGACGCGGGTGCAGCCAGCATCCATGGATCGTGTGGGGAAGACAATGCCGGCCTCCATGCTCGGAAGCGGCCAGCCTCTGCATTCCGCGCTAGCGATTGGAAGTGGCTAGACTCTTTGTGCACGTGATGCACGCGACACTTTCGTGATTTGCATCAACACAACCTATCGCATTTCTATGGAACTACGACTCTCGAACGAACAACGAAGCAACGCCTAAGCCGGTACTCGCGCACATGCTGACGATACCCATCTCTTTGTCCTGACGCAGCAGCTCGCCGAACAATGTGGCAGTCTGCCGTGCCCCGGTCGCGCCGGTGGGATGCCCAAGAGCTATCGCACCTCCGTTCGGATTGACCTTGTCTTCATCGAGACCCAGCTCCCGAATGCACGCAATGGTCTGGCTTGCAAACGCCTCGTTGAGCTCAATGATATCAACGTCCTTCAGCTCAACACCTGTCCACTTTAGAAGTGCTGGTATGGCGTATATTGGGCTAATGCCCATCTCGTCGGGGGCGCAACCCTTGACCTGGGTGCCAACGAAGCGGCCAAGTGGCTTCAATCCACGTTCTTCAGCCCACGAACGTCGGGCGAGTATGGTGGAGGATGCGCCGTCCGATATTTGAGATCTGAAAGTTCAGCTTTGCGAGAGCTTTGAGTCATGTCCACTTACGAGTTGCCTGCGGTACTCTTGCCGTTCTCGCCGAACACAGGCTTCAGCGTCGACACTTTCTCAAAGGTCAACCCATGCCGAATGCCGTCGTCCTTGGTGACCTCATGCCCTACAGGCTGGCCTGTCGCCTCGTCCATCCTTTGAATCGTCACGGGCTCGATCTCCCAATCAAAGCGACCTTCCTTTTGGGCACGACTTGCGCGACCATGACTTCGCACCGCATATTCATCTTGCGACTTCCTGTCAACTTTGTATCTCTCTGCTACGTTCTCAGACGTGATTCCCATAGGCATAAGACAGTCGCGCGCATCTTTGACGGTCGACCCAAGTAGCGTGGGTGAGACATCGGTCGGGACGCCCCGCGAGCTGTAGTTTCTCGACATGCTCTCTACACCGCCAGCCAGCCCCACGTCAATCTGACCCACCATGATCGAGTGTGAGATGTGTGTGATGGCTTGTAGACTGCTCGAGCATTGCCGATTGACTGTATGGAAGGTCGTGGAGTTTGGAAAGCCGGCATGATTCAGCGCCATACGTCCTGTCTTCGCGAAGCCCAGTTCGGCGAGTACATTCCCAATCATAACATCGTTCACGTCGACTTTTTCGATGCCAGCTCGCTGTACTGCAGCTTTCATAATCTGTTGTATTCAGCAACAGTGCAGCGCGTTCTCCTGCCGAGACTCACCGGCATCAGGATGTCTTCTGGATGAGCATCTTTGTAACCGCCCTTGAAACTACGATTGATTGGCGACCTGACCGCAGAAAGTAAAACTACATCGTTGGGGCTTTTCTGCAGCACATTGCGCGCGGCTTTGCTAAAGGACGCCATTTTGGCACAACAACTGATAATCTACGCGTCGCATTGGTCCAGGAATGCCTATTGTATGATCTCACAGGGCCGAGAAAGTGCCGCATCGTGGTTGCGGCGAGAGCTGTGGCGGGGCGACGTGTATGTGTGGGGCAGGAGCGAGAGACCCCTCCATGCCGACTCGGGCAACAACGCAATGATGCTTGCCGAATCTAGCTTGCATGCGGACGCGACCATTTACTTTGAACATTTTCACGCGCAAACTCATCTCAACAAGACATTACACGATGGCGCTCCCGAACAAGTACCAAAATGGCAGCATTGACTCCTCTACCAAGGGAGTGTACAGGGCATCGCCCGTCAAGCTCATGATATACGGAAATGGTACGCAGACTGCGGTTGCGAATCGAAAAGAAAACTTACATGTTCGCACAGGAACGAGCAGCCAGCTTTCAGATGTCATTGCCGAGCTCGGTGCTACAAAGGCCTTCATCATCACCGGACGATCTTTATACGAGAAGACTCCCGTGATCAAGAACATTGAGAAGACACTTGGTTCTGCGCATGGTGGTACATTCAGCAAGATCGGACAACACGCGTATGTGGAGAGCTGTTGAAGTATGACAAGCGCAGGCTGACAAGTCCAAGACCGATTCAAGATATCAAAGAAGCCACCGCGCTGATGACAAAGTCCGGATGCGATGTACTCATATCGATAGGCGGTGGCTCACCCATTGACTCAGCCAAAGCCATTGCATACAATATCCACGAGGAGACCGGAAAGTGGATTTCTAGTATCGCCGTACCAACAACACTGAGTGTAGCTGAGACGACGCAAAACGCTGGCTTCACCACCGAAGAAAAGCACAAGATCGCCGTGAGCAACCCAGAACTTGTACCCAAGGGTAAGCACGATGTCGGATGGTCGGAGAGACTCAAGCTGATCAAATTCAGCTGTGGTATACGATGGTGAACTTGCTGTATACACACCCTTGAACCTCTGGACAAGCACAGGAGTAAGTTCATCATCTCCCCAGGCGATGAAGTCTCTGACACACTGGCAGATTCGATCACTGGACCACGCAGTGGAGCTGATGTACCACCCTCTCGCCGCCGAGATCCCGACAAAACGCATGTCTTTGGAAGCTATCAAGGATCTCTTCACATACCTACCACAATCGAAGGCCAACCCCAATGACGCCGAAGTGCGAACCAAGCTTTTCGTTGCTTGTTACTCGTCACTCTTCCCCTTCCTGTACACTGGCGGAGTCGGCCTCAGTCACAGCATCGGCCATGCGATTGGTGCAACATACAGCATTCCGCATGGTATCACCAGCTGCCTCAGTCTCGCACCGACGGTACACTTCAAGGCGAGCAACCCAGAGGAAGCGAAGCAAATCGCTAGGATCATCCCATACATCGGGAAGCAAAGTACTGGCAGCGACGAGAAGGATTCCCACGTCGTTGCTGACGCCATTGCTGGACTGGTCGAAGAACTGGGACACAAGACCACATTGACAGCTG